TTTTAGTATGTTGTAAGCTGCCCAGAGTCCCCCATTGTGGGGAGATGGGCGGGGACAAATTAAATAAATAAAAATAAAATAAAATTGGGAGACTACAAATTCCATGCAGTGGGGGCTGGGTTGGGAAGAGTTCAGGAGTTACAGCAACCAAGTGCTCATCCCAGTAATCTCATAGTTAGAAATCATTTTGGCTTTGCAGCAGTTGTCTTGGGATCTGGGTATGGAGGATATTATCATCACCCTTTTGTCATGGTCAGATCATTTCCTAGTCTAGCTATAGCTTATTGGCTGCCCATACCTCACAAGAGTGGCCCCCCAGGCACCTTATGGATCCAGCTTTCTGGTGGGCACTTGGAGTGTTCCTGATAATCTGATGGGCAAGTTCATTGAGTCCTTGGTTCACTGCTGGCAACAGGTGACTTGGGCCCTTGAGATCATTCCTCAGTGGCCTCTTTCAGTTGAGGAAGCACTATCCCTGAAGGAGCAGGTCTGTGACTTGGAGGTCCTCCTGGATTTGTAGCCCCTACTGAAAGAATAGGTGGAGACTGTGGCCAGGAGGGCCTCACCTAGCTTTGGCTATTCTACCAAAGCTGGGGTGGCCCTACCTGGGGTGTGAGGACTTGCTTCAGTGAATCATGCCTTTATCACTACTCAGTTAGAGTACTGCAACATCCTGCATATGGGACTGCCTTTAAAGACCACTTCAACTTTTTAGTTGATTAAAAATGCAGCAACTCTTGTATTACCAGGCATTCGCTGGTCAGACAGCATTACACTTTGCTAATGCAAGGGCTCTGCATTCTTCCTCTAAGCTTCTCAGTGCAATTTAAAGTGCTGGTGTTAACCTATAAGGCTCTTTATGGCTTAATACTAATCTGTCTTCAGGACTGCATTTGTGTGATGGAATGTATCTACGAAGAGGAGGGTGATGTGGGGGATAGAAGCAGAGATCAAGGCTGTCAGGAAGGAGGGGGTGTATTCCAGGAGGGGAAAGGAGACAAAAGACAGCACAGTCCAGAGCTGGGGCATGGGAAGATTAAGAGGTTCAGGATAGCCACTCCCTTGAATCTCCCAGGGTACATCCACTTGTTGCAGTAGTATAGATTTAGTCTGGCAAGATTCTGT